TCTAGGCTTGGAGAGATTAGTTACTAAAAGCTACTGATTATGAGTGCGAGTTTATGTTGCTAATTTTTTTTGCTTCACAGTTAATGAACAGCATCTCCTGTCCATCTTAACATTAACTGTTGACTGAATCCATCACATGCAGTTTATCAGTCCGTTCTTTTCATCTTTCCCCTTTTGTAAAATAGAATCTGGAAGCATTCCGCCCGTCACGCCTGTCAACCAGATTGGTTATGGCCTAATCACTAATGCACTTCCACTGTAGAAGTTACCGACATTAAAGTGCACAGTTACTCAAAGTGAGAGCATGTTCAGTGCTGCGGTTATACTGCACAAATTAATAATATAATTTTGTATATTGAAAATTGTGACATCAAAATGTGTCGACACATTTCACAAGGAATTGTGGTAACTATACATCTGTAGGCAAATAAGGTGGTTAATTTACACATAGCAAGGTTCCACTAACAGCCATAAAGTGAATAATTATAATAATAATAATAATCCTTGCATTTGATATAGCGCCTTATCACATCTTCAAGACATCTCAAAGTGCTTCAACCTACCAATGTGGATCACAAATTTTTAGGGGGTGAAGAAGGTCCTTTGGCTCATGTAACCTCCTCGTTCTAGAGCACCCACACTACTGTCCCCCTAACACCAACCTCAAGGATTTTCTTGTCATTACAAAAGTGGGAAACGAAAAGATTATGGATGTTTTCTGGCTATTTTGCCACCAACTGAAATGAGTTATTGTCATCTTGAGGGTCTAGAATCCTGCCGGGTTCCCTTTGGGATATAGTGTACAGTTTTGGACATTGTAACTTCAAAAGCATTGCAGAGCTTGAGTCAGTCTCGCTTCTGAACATTATTGTGAAGTGGAAACTGATGAAGAGTAGACGGTTTGCAATGGTAAATACAGAGATCATCACCTTGTGGACAGACATAAAGAATATTACTAGCACAGTTAGGATTTCAGTGCCAAGACAAGCAGGACAAGCGGGTCTCAAGTACGTGAAAGGAAATTTCAGGCCAGATCCCAGCAAATATTTCTTTACACAGAGAATAATTGATGTCTGATAGGATGATAAATGACAGGTCACTGGGCTCATTTCAGAAACAGTTTGATATTGTAGTGGGAAGATAGTAGGGTAGGTATTCTGGAATAATTAGATCAAATGAGCCGAAAGAGTTCTTTATCCGAATCTCTCTTGTGATCTTGTAGAAATGTGTCCTTTTGCATCCATTAGCTTCATAAGGCCGCTATGGTAAACCAGTCTCCTTGCCAGCATACTGAAACATACATCACACCCTGGTCAGTAACACTAGCAATCTGTTTGTTATGTGTATACAATGAGTATTTGTTTCCATTATAATCACAAAATTAAAAGAATGCTATTGCTCGATCAGAGTATGTGGAACCCAGTAATATTTATGAATCTCAAAGCAGTGTAAAGACCAGTTACGTCTGACTGAATAAAGAAAGGTCAGTTTAGCACAATCACCAGTCAGTCCATCAGCAGGGAAACCTGGCATCCCCCATTCTTCAGCAGAGATGCGTCAAGCATGGCAGCACTGGAACATCTGGCTGAGCTTTTATTGCCACTGACGATATTTGAAGCTAGATGAGCACAGCAGGCTTGTTTAGATACTCTCCATCACGTTAAGTACAGCGATGCCAAAGACGGTATCCCTGTGGACTGCATTACCACCTGAGTAACTTACATTTATACGTGATGGAAGTTCCAAACATACTCACTGTTTTGGTACTTTATGCGTCTGTAAATTCAGTTGACAAGAGCCGGGTATTAAGAGATGCAGAAACATGGTTATGAACAATGTGTCTGATCCCACAGCAAAAGTTTTTAGCCCACATCAAAGCAGAATAATTAAATCCTGCTGGAAAAGCTAGTGCACGCTTCCTTACTGTCAAAAGATATGAGCAGTGCAATATGTTCATAGTATATTAATGCACTGGCAACTCATAACAGCCTGGATTGATCTTGAAGCGTGTATTAATTCAAGTCTGTCTGCAATGTGAGAGAGTGTGGCAATTATCTGCATTAATTGAAATGATAAATAAAACAATAATACTCCAAGTTTTCTTCTCTATTTCTAGGATCACTTAAAAGTCACAATGAGCATTGTTGACTGAAAAAAATAATATACTGTAACTTGCATTTGAACCTCTTTGAACCTGCAAGTAATATTATATTGCAATATCATCCAATTTGAAATGAATGTGGAGGGGTCTATCATGCGTTGATTGCTAACCCTAGCGATCTCTTTATTATCTGTTTATAGTAAGGTAATCCCACAGCAGTGATCAGTATGAACAACAACAATTTGTATTTATTCCATGCCATTCGCATAGGGAAGGTGTCTCAAAGCACTTTATTGAGTGGTTGCCTAAGCTTGAAGGGTGGTAGGAAAGGTTGGGGGAAGGTGGTTGAAGACACAATCAAAGAAATAGCTCTTTAGTTAGGCTCTGAAAACCGAAAGGAAAGGGTGAGTCAGAGTGATTTTGCAAGTGAGTTCCAGATGATAGAGACAAAATGGCTGAAAGCTCACCTGCTGCAGGTGGGGTGGAGTGGGCGGGGGGCAGGCATGAAGCAGATTAAGGACAAAGGAGGTCACAGAGGTAGGGTGGGCTAAGGACATGGAGGGATTTGAAGGCAAGGATGCTGGACCTGCAATGATGGATAGGGAGGCAATGGGGGAGATGGGTTCACATATCCTTATATCCTTCAATCTTGCGCCAAGTAGAGCTGTATCCAGTTTTGGTGTGAAATTAAAGACTGTATCAGCACCTGGTTTTCTTAGGAGTCTGTTTCACAGATCTATTTTCTTTCTGTTCTCATCATTTTAAACATTTGGTTCATGTTCCTCCTCAATTGTCCCTTTTTCAGTGTTGAAGTTACTCTCACTCAGGGCCGGTAAGAAATCTAAGCTAGAAATTCTATTTAGCTCTGAATGTACACACAGGGGAGGTATAACATTATTGTATACTGAGTTTGCTGTAGTTTGTAAAAATAATTGGCTTCTAAATTAAGACAAATTAAAAATATTCCACAATTCCGCACAATCTTAAAGTTTAAGACAGAAAGACGGGGAAGATTTTGAACCATAAAATTCTGTCTACAAGTTTATTTATGGAAGAATCTCTATCTAAGACCCTATTACTCTAACACTGACGTTTGTTGAATCCTAAGTTTCCTAACTACTTTTGCTGCAGAAGTTTCCTAGTCTGTCTTTCTGTTTACTCTGTCTACTCTTTGGAGGGCAGCGAGGGTGGCTGAAGGCTTGGTCGAAGAGGAATATTTTGAGACACGCCTTGAAGGAGGTTTGGGAAGGAGCGAGGTGAATAGAATAAGGGATGGAGTTCCATAGGGTGGGGGCAGAGAGGCTGAAGGCCCAACTGCCGATGGTGGTGCAGGCCGGGCGGGGGAACGTGGAGCAGGCCAGAGCCTGCTGAGCAGAGGGAGTGGACAGGTTGATATGAGGTCAGCAGGTTGCTGTGGAGGGCCTTGAAGGTGAGGAAGAGGAATTTTGAACTCTATCTGAGGGATGGGGAGTCAGCGAGGGTGGATTGATGGGGTCCCGGAACCTGCTGCGGAAGAGGACACAAGCTGCAGAGTTCTGGATGATCTGCAGCTTGTGGAAGGAAGAGTTGGGAACAAAACTAGAGAGGAAGGGAAGAACCCAGCCAAAGTACTAATTCCTGATTGTGATGCAGTTACACCTGTTGCAATGAACAACTGTGGATATTGACTGAGCATAGAATAGCTTCACTTTCCTTTCCAAGAATAAAGCCTGCTGATACTGGCCATTTGGACTCCCATATGAGGAATAGCCACAGAGTGTGGCCATTGTGAAACAAGGGAAGAAAACATTGCACTGACTAGCATCAAGTGCATCACTGGGGCTCCCTGTCCAGACTGAAATAATAGAATGTATGATTTGTTTTGGCCAGCCGTGTGCGTGACACATGCAGAAGCCCATTACGGTGCTTAAGTGTATCCAAACCAAATTGAGAGCTCTATGCATCCCAGCTACACATGAAAATTCCCGAGATATTTATTGGAATGGAATGCTCACTCTCTTCCTGGAGGAACACATCCTGCTTAGTATTAGGCACAGGTTCACAAGAGCTAATTTGCTGCTTGTTGTTATTGTCCTTCTGAATCGTCATCTTTCAAGACTAAAGAGGCCTATCTTGTCTAATCATTGCTCATAGCTCATTCCTCTGACATTGGGGATCATTCTTATTGCTCTTCTCTGCACTGTATTTACTTTCTATTTACTTTTTTTCTATTTTTTTTCCATTATTTCTATTATCTGGCAAGCCAAAATCAGTATTTTGAAGCGATGTGCAACGAAAATTGACTTTACTTCAATTATCATAGAATCATAGAATCTTACAGTACAGAAGGAGGCCATTCAGCCCATCATACATGTGTCAGCTCTTTGAAAGAGCTATTCAATCAGTCCCATTCCCCAAAGTCTTGCAGATTTTTCCTTTTCAAATATATATCCAATTCCCTTTTGAAAGTTATTATTGAATCTGCTTCCACTACCCTTTCACATTTCAGATCATAACAAATTGCTGTGTAAAAAAATCCTCCTCATCGCCCCTCTCTTTTGCCAATTATCATAAACCTGTGTCCTCTGATTACCGACCCACCTGCCAGTAGAAACAGTTGCTCCTTATTTACTCTATCAGAACCCCTCGTAATTTTGAACACCTAATCCTCATCGTAAAGAAAAAAAACTGCCCCTTTAAGGATGTGGATGTTGCATCTTCAGTGGATCTGATTCCAATGGTACTGTGCTGTCTGCTTGCCTGTCCTAACAGGATAGCCTCTGCTGCTTCCTTTGTCTTTGCCATAATGACAGCACTCCTGCAATGAGGGAGGACCGCGCTGCAGTTTTGAGGCTATCAATGAGCTCATTCTGTTCAGAGAGGGGCGGGTTCATTAGCATCCCCAGAAAGCCAGCTGCTGCTGATCTGAGAAGGAAATGTGTTTAGATCTGAGCTTTCCAGGCCTTTATCTTCAGTGGACATGTATGTGGTGAGTATTTTCATTTCTTATATTGCGACAAAACAAGATTGTAACTATTGATCTTGCCCCCCCGCAACCCACCCACACCCATGAAAAATAATTAAGCTCAGAGCTGAGCTGTGATTGTGTGTGATGGGTAGAGGATTTCAGGAGCAAATGAACCAGCGATGTACCATCCAGTAAATTTATCCCAACTTGACGTTGCAGTCATTATTTTATTTAAGATAAAAATTGTGAAATGCGGAATGGTTAAGATCAATCCGTAAAAAATTTGATGTTGATGTGTCGCTGGATTATTTTATTCCAATATCTGTGGCAGAGGTTTATCTGGCAAGCAGCTGTTTCAAGGGGCTGGGCCTGGAGTGAACACAGCACAGCAATGGTGACAAATACAGTTGTTGGCAAAGATGTAGGGTTGGAACGCACAGGTTTATGTTTTATTATGATAGTTTATTATATTCATAATGTTGCTTTTTTAAAAAAAATGTATTTATTTTGCATGATTTTTTGTTCAAAAAAGAGAAAAATTATTCAAGCTGTAATATTATAGATTGTGGGTGCAGGCCTGTGTGGACTTGCCTCTGGATTATATACGTGTGTGTGTATGTATACATGTCTGTGTCAATGTGTGGGTGCAGGCCTGTGCGGAGCTTCATTTAAAACCCCCTTAACCAAAATGAGTTTCATTATTAATTTACAGGCCTGCAATTCTTTAAGCATGAAGCTTGTGGCTTCCCAAAATAGCTACCTTTTCTAATTCATTCCATCTATAAATGCCTGCAGCTGAATAAATACACTATAAAATCGAATACTGTACAAAGAACAGAAATAACTAGAGGACGATTAATTTGCTTAACATTATTCGCCAAAACAATAGACACCTATTTGATATATGAGATAGACAAAATAAATGCTTTTCAGGATTATATAATCCAGCTACAATTTTATCCAAAATGCCATAAATATCACATTGAGACAAATGGTGACTGCGTTTCTCTCCATATCTTGCTGCTTTTAATTGCCATGAAAGCCCATTTTCTGGAGCAAACGAGCCCTCTTCCTCACCGGTAATGTACACTGTATTAAATATTCAGCCTTACAGTAACTCATTATAATTAGGTACTCTCATGCGTTGGCTGATGCTGTCAGTATACAAGCACCAGTCAAACAGTATTGCACACATACACACGAGAGAATTAAAGCAGAAACGAATGCCAGCAATGGAGTGACACGATTGAAGAGACTGATGATAGTGGATCAGGCTATTCCATAATGCATCTCGTCTTAGTTATTTCTGGGTGCCATGTGACCTTGAACTCTTGTTTTATTGCACCAAGCTAATGTATTTAATTACTTTTAGTCTGCACACTTCATTTCTTCAGCTTCCTCAATTTCATTGAGTTTAAGATAAGGTCAGATTGCACTGCTCCTAAGCCATGATTCATGTGGACCTTCAGGCTGAGATTATGGTTCATATCTTCTGGGCTGGGTTCATGGAAGATGGTTTATAATTGTAGATATGGAAATGAGAATCGTTTCATGATGGGGAAGGGGGAACGTCTCAAGAGATTCACAACCTACTGAAAATAGCGCCTGGAGTAGATCAGTGTAGACATTTCCCCAAATTAAACTATTCATTCAAGAATGCAACTGGGAGAGATAATGGATACACTGAAGGCAGGAAAGGACACAAATCAATGTGGGCCACATAAGGTGAGTTTGTTTCCAATTGAATGTTAAATAACCATGTTGATTTACAATTGCCATATTTTAGATGTAAAAGTACTTTGACGGATAATCCTGCTGTTAAAAAAAAACCACGATCTGAATCAAAATGGGTTTGGCAGACTCATTTTTCAAAGAGATTAAATAAGATGAGTCAAAATGTTATTGTCGCCTTTTCACACAATTGCAATGAATACTCTTCCCTGTCCTCAAACAAACCAAAACATTGTCACACACATTGGCCTGAGGACATGGAAGCCAGTTGTAGAAGTCACTACTGATGACATGGTTGAGTTTGCCTAACTGTGACCTTTCTGATCTGTGTGGCTCAGCATTGCACCACAAACCCAGGTCATTTGCCCCCATTTAGTATCTGAAAAAGATGTTACATAAACAATATCTGCAACAGTGGAAACTGCAAGTTTCACATTGTTGTCCTTCGTTAATTTTTACTGCAGTTTGTTAATGGACTTCATGATGCAATACTATGTGTGTGTGTCTGTGTGGGTGTGTAATGTGTTAACAGTTTGACATGCCATGAGTTCAGTAAGTTCAAGTGTGTTATTGCAGTTTTAAGAGGTCCACTTCCATCGGATTATTTCCCACAAACATAAAATGGCTGCATGTCAACCCATTGTACAACACTGTCAGGATGCATTGATTTTTAAAAGCAGAAAAGCAACATATCCACTGCTCAGAATTATTGTGGAATGACACAATCTTCATTTCACATCTGCCTATAAATACTGCATCTTAGTCCTGATGTTACTGTTACCTGGTAGATTCACTTGCTCCCTGGCGTTCACTCTGATGCATTTCCTCCTGTATGTTCACAGCAATCCCTGGCCTGAATATTTCGTGCTGAGCTGTGCAGTTCACTCCCAGTGAGGTCCTTTTTGATTTCAAGCCAGATATTGCATTGAAGAGTGACAGGAGAGTGACCGCAGTAACAGAGCAATGCAAATTTAGTTTATTTGTGTTTTTGCACAGTTGTGTTTAGTTTAGTGACAAATTGCCCATGTGAAGTAGACACAAGATAGCAAAAAGCACTCAGTGAATGACTGGAAAGTAATTCAGTGGTTAGTTTCTGGTAAAGTCTAAAACACCAGAGGAAAGATTGAGCATGTTTTAACTTTAAAACAATCCTCAAGTTTGAAATACCAACGTTAACCTAATTGCCAGCCATGTATTATCTTATGCCACTGGTACATGGTAAATCTCCATAATAATAGTGTTCTCTGCTCTTATCAGCAAATGTTGTCAGGAGGTAATGTGATGTAGGTGAAAAGATAATTAAGCTGATAGTCATGCAGGTCCTAAAAGCACACATGTGATGGATGTGATAGTGTTACAGAGCAGTAGGAGTTAGGTAAATCAATGTTTATTTCTTGTGTACAGAGCAAAGGATGGTCAAGTTGGAGTTTGGAGTTATTTTGAACCATTGCTTCTTTTACTTCCTGAAACTAACCCAGGAATACATATCACACGTCCTGCAACTCAGTCATTCTCTGATGGTCCATCGTTTATTAGTTTATTAGTGAAGCTCAAGAAGTTGTATCAGTTCAGCTTTATTACTGTTACTTTGTTCGCAACAGATGATCTACAGCTTTTTGATGGGTTCGTTTGGCCAATATCCCGAGCTCACCCTTCTCCCTGCTACAATCCTCAAGGTTTGATAGGATACTCTTTAGCGCTTTGATTCATTTGTTCTCAGGGAATGGCTGTGTATAAGTGCAACTTGTAGTTGATTATCTGTGCTTTACCAATTTAACTTGAAAAGTTACCTCCATGTACAAAAAGGAAAACAAAAAGCCTTGTGCTTATTTTCATTGCTTCTTTGCAACTACTATTTTCTGAAAAGAAAAACAGAAAGCCAAATGCAGTGGTAAAGCAGTGTGAGTGGGAGCAGTAGTTGCTGTGGGTAATTTGACAATGCCATTTGTGTTTGGCTCTATTATCTATTATCATCTGAATATAGGTCAGTTGGATGGCCTGTTTTGCCATATAGGTAGCATTGCAAGGCGTATGGGACTGTACATGAGTCATGGGTACAGAATCTAAATCTTCTTATGAGCTACTCGAGGCTGCTTGTAGTAAATGCGGGAGTCCTTTCTTCAAATTTGTCTGCTTTACACCTGTAGCACCCTGTCATATTGAATTTTTCCATTAGAATACATTAGAATACATGAGAATACACAGCACAGAAACAGGCCATTTGGCTTAACTGGTCTATGCCGGTGTTTATGCTCCATATGAGCCTCCTCCTGCCTTTCCTCAACTAAGCCTTCCAGTATAACCTTCTATTCCTTTCTCCCTCATGTACCAATCTAGCTTCCCCTTAAATACATTTATGCTATTTGCCTCAACAGCTCCTTGTGGTAGCATGTTCCACATCCCCACTACTCTCTGTGTGAAGAAACTTCTTTTAACTTCCCTGTTTGATCTACTTGTGGTTATTTTATATTGATGACCCCTGGTTTTGGTTTCCCCCATAAGTGGAAACATCTTCCCTATGTTTACCCTATCAAAACTTTTCATAATTTTAAAGACCTTTATCAAGTCACCCCTTACCCTCCTCTTTTCAACCAGTTACTGTAGTTTATAATGTACAATGGTTGTTTAATACCAGAGGGAAAAACTGGAATGGAGATGATGTCTAAAGGGCAACATTACAGATAAACTCAATTGTCTGCTCTAATGGCAGTGTCACTGCTTGAGAAAGCAAAAAGAGCATTGGATATGCTGGACTTGATCTCTATACTCTTCCCGTTTAGTAATCTATCAATGACTAAGCTTTTTATTTATCATTTACAATAAAGTCTAGAACAGACGCGAAAAAGAAAAGTCCTACAATAAAGTCTACAATGGACATTTGGCTAATAGCCCTTGGGCTAGCCACGCTGAATTACATTAATTATGTAATTAATCACCAACGAAAGAGATTACAGATGGTGTGTAGCATCCAAATCCACGTTTTGGACATGTGGATTCACCTGATTCCCACACACAGATCACAATGCCAAAATGTTTATTGTTGCGCTCATCCTAGAATATCAAGTAACCTTCTAAAAAGCGGTCTCTGCACTCCACAGTATTTTGTGACATGCTTCAAGACATTTCAACAATGTGATAAAAAACTATGTCAAATGCAAAGATTCTTAAGTTTATTCTATATTACTAGAATGTTGATCTTTCTCAACTAGTGTATTTAATATAAAGTTAGCTGTGAATTTCCTTTTAGAATATTTCTGATTGTAGGTTGACTGCGCTATGTATCCTCGTCC